CATTTTCTGATATCATCTTCAATCTCTCTTTTCAGAGTGCCATAGTTTTCAGAGAAGAGGTCTTTGATTTCTTTCATTAGGATGATTCCTAGGTATTTCAGTTTTTTGGATGCTATTGTGAAAGGAATTATTTGCCCTATTTCTCTCTCAGTGAGTCTGTCATTGGTGTAGAGGAAAGCTATTGATTTTTGTGTGTTGACCTTGTAACCAGCTACTTGACTGAATTTGGTTATTAACTCTGGAAGACTTTTGGTGGAGTTCTTGGGGTCTTCTATATAGAGTATCATGTCATCTGCAAATAATGACAATTTGGCTTCTTCATTTCCTATCTTTATTCCTTTTATTTCTTTCTCTTGTCTAATTGCCATGGCTAATGTTTCCAGAACTATATTGAACAAGAGTGGTGATAGTGAACATCCTTGTCTTGTTCCTGATTTTAGTGTGAAGGATCTGAAAAGATTTTTTAAAGCAGATTTTTGGAAGCAACAGCTGGATTATTTTAGTTGTATATGATAAGAACAGAGAAAGATGAATTAAAGAGAAAACTTCACAGCAAAATTTATAGAAAACAGAAAAGAGCCAAGGATTTGCTGGGTTTGAAAATAAATCTGTTTCTTACAGCATCCACAAATGGGAAAATATGCTGAAAGTATGAAAAGTCTTCAGGACAAAGATAAAACCCAGCATGAAATCATAAGACCCTTTGTCAAAACCTCAGAAAGATTGACTATTTCATTAAATCATTCAGGTAGGCGAAGGCCCTCTAAGTACTTCATGAGCATGCTTCCCAGACTGTCTTTGTTAGACAGTAAGATCTTCTAAGAACTGTAGGGAAACTGTCTGTCCCACGACAGCCTCACAAGGACATAGGGTAGAGAAAGGCTCATGTGGATGGAACTTTTTTTTTTTTTGAGACAGAGTCTATGTAGTTCAGGCTGGCCTTGAATTCACTATGTAGCCCAGGCTAGCCTTGAACTCACAGTAATTCTCCTGCCTCAGCCTCCCAAGTGCTGGGATTACAGGCAATCACCACCACACCTGGCTAGTGGGTAGGATTTCTTTTTTTTGAGGGGGTACCAGGGATCGAATTCAGGACCTTGTGCTTGCAAGGCAGGCCTAGGAACCACTGAGCTAAATCTCCAGCCCATCTGTGGGTAGAACTTTTGACTAATGGAGTAAATTCTGATGGCATCCATAGGAAACCCACAATGTTTTAAGTAGAACTGTACAGTCCTCAGCACTACCAGCTTGGACTAACAGAACTGGACTAGATGAAAAAAGGCCTATGGACCCCCTAGTTCTGTTGAAGGAAGCAAGTAGAAAAATCTACTCAGCTGGAAACATTGGCCATATTTCATAGAAAAGGAAGGATAATCAGAAGGTGGAATCAGGAGCCCAGAGAACAGAGCCCAAAACCATGGAGAATCATTCCTGGGCAATAGGACTGAGCCCTACTCCAGAAACTGGCAAGGTGGGCCTGGGGGCCCCCCAACTGCTATGTCCCAGAGACTGCTGTGTGCCTCCCTCTCCTCCTTTCCAGTGAGGGTGCTTGCTTGTAAGTGTCCTGGTCCTGTCCCATCATCGTATAGGGGATGTAAGGAGCAGATGAATGAGGTAGGTAAAGAGGAATAGAATCAAAGAGCTGTGCCTTTGCATCTGCGGAAACTCCTCCCCACCTGGATGGTTTAGATGATGGGGTGTTACACCTCTGGCCTCACCCAGATGCCATAATAGATGAGACTTCCGGGATGGTTGGAAGGGAGTGGGTATTGTTTGCATGTGAGAGGAGTATAAGTACTTTACATTCAGAGAATGAATTGTGTTGGTTTTAAATATGGCTTAAATTTGTTGACACGTTTCCTATGGAGAAGGGGAATTGATGTCCCTGCTTCCTGTACCTGGGCAGGCCGTTGTAACTACCTTAAATGGAATGTGGCAGGAAATGACACTGTGTAGTCCAAGGCTGGGTCACAGAAGGTGACACAGCTTCTGTCTTGCTCTCCCTCAAGATACCTGCCTTGGGATCCCCGAGTTGGCATGGAATCTGGACGCCGTGGGATCTGGTGAGTTGCCATGGAACCTGGCCAATCTGTGGCCGCCATGATGGAAAACACTGTGAAGAAGCCACACAGAGAGGAAAGAGACAGAGATGCCTGAGGAACCCCAACTTCCCAGCCCCAGGCCTGCCTGAGTCCTCCCAGCCCTGACACATTAGTGAAGAAGGCTTTGAGGTGACCCAGCCTCAGGAGACCCCAAGCCAGAGCAATCCAGTTAACCACAGAAACCACAAACAGGAACAAATCGTGGTGGTGGTGGTTTTAAATCATAAATTTTGTGGAGAGGGTTATTATTTAGCAACATCTTTAAGCAACATTTTTCTTGCCTTTAAAACAGGGCAAATCATCAATCAGACCTGCTTCAGAGGCTAAATCGATGAGTTAATGTTTGTAGAGCACGCAGCTTAGCTTCCGGTATGTAGTAAGGACTCAGTGAATGTTACTTGTCCTTTACTGCTGCTCTGTAGCTATTCTCCTGAATGGTAACTGTGAATCAAAGAAAAATGACAGTTTATACTCTATTCAAGAAGGAGCCTACGGTGTGTTGTTGAATAAATGAAAAAAAGAAAAGGACTTTATTATTTTGGGGAGGTGGCTGCTAGTTTCCAAAGATGACCCTGGATGAACCACACCTCCTGAGACTGGCTCTCTTGTCCAGTTCCCTCCCTCCCATACTGCCCTTGTCTGTACCTGTGACTCACCTTACTCAACAGCATGTGGCTGCAGTCGTGCCTTTCCTGTGCTGGGCCTGCGCTTTAATAAGGCTTACTGGCTTTCCCTTCTGCACTTCTGGGAACTCTGAACATCATATATCTCTGGATACCCACCTGGAGAAATCCACCTGGAGAGAGGGAACCCAGCAATCCGAAAGTCCCAGCTGAGCCTTGCCTTCCAAGGTCCTTGCCAGGGAGCCAGACCTGTGGGTCTGTGGGTCCACCCTTTTGCCTCACCGAGCCCAGTTGAGTTCCTGGCTGTCACCTTGGATGCAGCAGCATGAGAGATGCCCTGTGAGATCAGAGACAATGTTTGTGGTTCATTTTAAGCCACTGAGTTTTAGGGTGGTTTGTTACACAGTGGTAGATAACCAGAAGTAAGTGCCTAGAACAGGGCCTGGCATATAGCTGGTATTTACTAAACATTTAACTAAATGAATGAACCTCTTCATTCTTTCCTCCCACACCTTCTCCTCCTAGGCCTGGTGCTCCTGAGACATCCTCCCAGCCATCCTTCTCTGCCTTTCCTATGTCCCCTGTGGAATGAGGGGAAAGTGGGATCCTCAGTGGGCTCTAGAGTGCACTAAAGCCTGGAACGACCATTTCGTTTGTGAGGAAATTCCTAGCTGCAGGTTTCTAGGGCAATGTTTTCCTACTTCTTGTCACAGTGGGACCAAGGTCTTTTTATGTTGTAAATGGAAAAGAGAAGAATCAGTTTCAGGACTGATCTCTACTAAGTTTAAATTCCAGCTGCTCCATGTCCTGATCGTGTGGTAGTGAACTACTGATTTAACCAACTTCCCTATCAGCAAAGCTTCAGTGCACAAAGTGAACATGACATCCTTTCTATAGCACCTGGCAACACAGTCAGTAGGTGCAGGAGGAGCTGCAAGTGTGTGATGTGGATGAATCTCAGACATGGTGTGGAGCAGAGCCAGCCAGGCAGAGAGTACATGCTAGTTGTGGTTTGAAGTTTGAAGCAGGCAAAGTTAGTTGGTGGCAAGAGAAATTTCTGAGGGATATGGAGGACACCTGGATGACACCTGGGGTATTTGGAATGGTCCATATTTCACGCAGGTGGGGTGTGCATGTGCAGAGGTTCATGGAGTCATACCACGGAGATGAGTGTGTCTATTGTGTGTTATATCTCCCTAAAGAAGCTGAAAGCGTGGTAGTGTGTCCCCCCTTCATGCAGGAGTGACCTGCAGGAATTCCCTAAATCCTGTCCTCTCGTTCCCCCAGGACTCAGTCCCACACCCCTCACCCAGAGAGCAGCCGTGGAGAGGATGTCTAACCACTGCCTAAGCTGGCCAGCACTGCCCACGTGGCCTGGGGCTAATGCCAACGGCGGGTGGGGGAACATGCTCACTTTCTGCTCCTGAGTGGCAGAGTGTCCACGATGCCCCTGAGGGCTGTGAGTGTGTGGGGGGGGGAGCTCCTCTCATCCCCCCAAGACTGAGGGCCGAATCTGTGAGCAACAGAAGCCCCTCCTTGGGTGACAGGCCTGGAGCCTGGAAGGACAGAAGGACAGATGGGCACCAAGGATGTCTGGGCTGGGCTGACCTCAAGAATTCATGCTGCCCACAGCCCTGCTATTTGGGTCCGGGAGCCACAAGCCCCTCGGAGTTTTCATTCTCTGTCCTGCAGCTGTTGCTTACGTGTTTCATTCAGAACACTTCAACAGGAAACAGCAGGCTCTGCATTCCAGAGTTTTTAGTCATTTTTTCTTTCAGAGCTCTGGGGCTGGGATTAGAACGTTCTTCTAACCGCATTGTCCTCGGCTGGTCTCCCAAGAGGAAGTGGCTGGGTCCCTGGGGGAGAGGACACAGGCCTCAACTCAAGGACAGACCAAAGAGCAAGGCCAGAGTAAACTCTCAGCCTACTGAGGGGCCGAGAGTGGTGCAGGGAGGGTGAGAGATGGGGGCGCGGGGTGGGTGGGGCCCTCAGGTCTGGGACGAGGGGACCCACGTGTGTGTGTGTGTGTGTGTGTGTGTGTGTACACGTGTGGGATGTGCAGTAGGGACAGAACAGGGTCACTGGCAGAACTGTATCCCAGTGGGCCACACACCCAGCCCTGGTGCTGCTCACTGCCCTGGGAATCAGGCACTGAGAGGGCAGAAGTGACCCAGGCTCAGGTCTGTGGAGGGGAAAGGAGCGCTTTATTTTTTATTTATTTATTGTTTGGATTTTTGAGACAGGGTCTCACTATGTAGCTCAGGCTGGCCTCGAACTCATGGCAATTCTGCTGCCTCAGACTCCTGAGTGCTGAGATTACAGGGGTGCACCACCACACCCGGCATGAGAGGAGCACTGTAGCAAGTGGGCCCACACATACCTGAGCCAGAGAAACCACAGCGGAGGTTTGTTGGAGGGTCTGCTGCTTGCCTGACACCCGGCCATGTGTTGGAAATACAGAAGGGACGGGATGTACTCTGTCCCAGCTATCACCAGAGGACCTGGGAGCAGCCTGGAAGGTGCTCTGGGGGCTGGTGGACAGAGCACAGGTGGGCGTAAGGGAGTAGGGGAGTGCGGATGGGGCCTGGGGCACGTCGGTGGTGCAGCCTGAGCACTGGGAGGGAAGGGGACGGCCCAGGCAGGAACCTGGGGGTGGGGGGAACTATGGGAGGGAGATGTGATGGCCGGAGGCGGGGCTGCCTTCTCAGCCTGAACAGCCCCAGAGGCACAGGAGACAGGAGGCCAGAGGAAGGGGCCACTGTTGGAAGAAGCCGCCCAGTTCCATGCCCCTGTGTCCTCTGAGCTTCTGGGGCAGAGAGAGGAAAGTCCACAGTGAGAGTTCAAGTCCAGAATTTAAAATGACAAAGTAGGGGGTGATATCGAACCCATGATTCTGTAACATTATATGGCAAAGGGATTTAAAAACATAAGAAAGATTACCATGGCCAGGCTTGATGGTGCATGCCTGTAATTCCAGCTACTCAGGAGGCTGAGGCAGGAGGACTTTGAGTTCGAGGCCTGTTTGCACAACTTAGAGAGATCCTGTCCGTGAGCTTATTGAAAGGGACGTGATCTGGTAAGTGGGCTGAATCTCATCCCATGAGCAGCGTTTTCTTTGGTTAGTGGCAGGACAGAAAGTCTTTGACTTTAAACATGCAGGAAATTCCGATTTACCTTTGACGGCTTGAAGAGGGAGGGGGCCGTGTGGAAAGACCTGAGTGAGGAGCTTCTAGGAGCTGACAGAGATCCCTGGCCAATAGCCAGCAGGGAGGCAGAGACCGCAGTCCTACAGCCACAGGAGTGGATTTCTGCAGCAACCCCGTGTGCTTGGGAGCCAGCTCAGTCCTTGATTTTGGACCTGTTAGGCCCCAGGCAGAGAATCCAGCTGAGTCCACCTGGACTTCTGACTAGCAGAGGTGTGAAATCATAAACAGGTGTTGTTTTATGCTGCTAACTTTATGGTAATTTGTTCCACAGCAATGGAAAACGGATACACTCTCACTTTCTCATTGTACCCCAAGTAGTGATGGGGGTATGCCTCTCACTGTGCCATTGAGGCAGGAGAAGTAGGGTACTCAGTCTGCAGGTATTGGGCTGGGGTTCAGGCCCAGGGCCCAGCTGGTTCCTGGGCTCTTTGCGTTACAAACACTTCTCCCATTCCAACAGCCACAGATGAACCAACCACAGACACTGGGCTTTGGCCAAGGGTGTCTTGTCTTCCCACCCAGGGTGAGGCCTGCATCTTCCTCCTGTTCATAAGAACCAAGCCTCTGAGGCTTCCACACCACAGCCTGCAGGGTGCACAGCTCCCCGGGGAAGAGCAGCACTCTGGGCAGTGACCGCAGCTTCTCCCTTCTTCTTGGATGACAAATCTGGGCTCTGCTAGGGCCAGAGACAGGAGCTGGGATCGGAGTGCGGTGACTTTCAGCCCCTCCCCCGCCCGGGCGAAAGCCTCTCCCTGGTCGGAACAGGATGTTTAAAATTGTACACTCGCTCTCTTAACAATTTGTGGGCCCCTAGTCAGGACCTCCTGGGAGTCCAGAACTGTCTGCAAGGAGGAAGGTCACTGTGTGTTTCTGCTTCCCTGATTAAAAAGCCCTAATGAAGGTTTTCTTGTTCCCACATCAGGCCTTTTCTAGAAATCTAATCCTTCCCAGATGGAGTCCAGTTCTCTCACCCCAGCCCCCTGCAAGGCAGGGCTCCAGAAAGCAGGAGGGTTTTGTCTGCCAGATCTGAGACTCAGCTGTCACTCACCATTGAGGGGATGTGAGGGGTGGATCGCCTTCCTGAACCTCGGTTTCCCCAAAGATCCATGAGCCAACAAACACAGGTAAGGTACCTGGTAGGCAAGAAGGAAGCCTCTGATACTTCTGTCCTTACCTGCCTGCCTTACCACAAGGCCCACGCTAGAAATATTTGTTTGGCAAGAAGGTCTTCGGCCAGCAGTTTGCCTCTGTGCTATTCCCTCTCCAAGGCACTTCCTGTCTCTAGTCAGTTCCTCCTTTTAGACCCTCCCTGGTTAAATCCCAGGACCCTGGAAAGAAGCTCCTGGAAGACTTTTGTAGTTAGTTCAGGGTCTCTTATAGTGAGAGGGTCACCCCTGGGGGAGAAGGGACATCCTGGGTGCTAGGACAGACAGACCAGGGCGGGCAAAAGAGTGCTATCCAGGTCCCTTGGACGTCTGTCCCGAGGGCCCGTGCACTGTGCTGTGCAGGCCTCGCTCTGGCCTAGGTTCTCTTGACTGTTTGCAGCTTTGGAGTTTGGGGTTAAACGCTCTCAGATGTAGCTTTCCTGTCAAGGACACTGGAGGAAAATCTGCTTGATGTGAACTTTTCAGCTCCCAAGGTGAAGGCTGGCTTGGGCAGGTCCTAAGTGCAGAGCTGAGGTTGTGTGCAGGCAGGTCGAGTTGTTGAGTCGTTGTGATTGGGGCTGATGGTTGAGAGGAGCTTTGGGGCCTGGGATCAGGACTGTCGGCTCCTTTCGAGAAGGGAGGGTCTACGTGAGGCTGTGTTTTCTCTGCTGTCACCTGTGGAGGAGGGAGAGACGCCACCCTGCCAGGAAGGAAGGCACTGAGGGCAATTTCGAGCTCCAAAGCCAGTTCCCCTGGGGGTACCCTCCAGGGCAGAGGCCGAGGGAGATGCCGGGGGGTGTCGGCAGAGTGGACCCGCTGTGCCACAGGACTTTGAGGCCGGGACAGGCACTGCCCTCAGCTGCCTCCTTCCTCCCCCCTCAGGCTGTGGGCTCAAAGCTGAGCCAAGCCTAAAACAGACAGCCTCTCTCTGCCTCTCGGTTGCCACCCCCACCCTGCCGGAGTCTGGTTTTCATCACCCATTAATCACTGACGCTTCCCACAGCCTGTGTCTGCCTATCCGCACTCCCCAGCCCCCTGCCCCGCTGGGGAGGGGCTGGATAGACAGACAGGCAGATGATCTCGGACTTGGGGAAACTTTGGGTCACCTTGGGGGTGCTCCCTACTCCAAGGCAGGGGAGAAGCATGCTTCCCAGGCCTGGAGGAGGCCACGCCTACCCCCTGCCCGGCCTACGTCACCCTGGCAGCAGGCGATGGGCCATTAGCTGTTCTGTTCCCCAGGAAGGAAATGGGTTGGAGGGCTGAGGAATTCTAATGAGGCTCCTCCAGCTGGCAGGCAGGCTGGCCGGTGAGAACTGGCACCTCTACTCCCGCTAGGGTTGGTGCCAGCCCTGTCCAGCCTGGACTGCTGGGTGTCCACCTGCCGCTGTAGGAACCCTGCTCTTAGGCTGCCTGGCAAAGTCCCTTAAGACTCCCAGGTGCTGGGCTTTTTTGGGGTTTTTTTGCTCCTGTCTCCACTCTCCCTCTGCTCCCCACAGTGACTTCGTGATGGAGACAGGGCCACCACCCACTGTTAGCTTTGAGCTACTCACCACCTCTCTGGAGCCTCATTTCCATGACAGTAAAATGGGATGAAAATTCCACTTCTACTGCATTTCTTAGGGTTACCCTCCTCCACCTCCTAATTAGAATAACTACCATTCATTGGGTGTCTGCTGGGTGTAAAGTATGATGTGGAATTGCTTAGAAAAAAGCATAAGATGCTCTTGGAAGGGTGTCTAGGGTCATTGTCACTAATGTCACCATTTAGGACCATAGCATCACCAAATTTGATGGCAGGATTTGCCTTCTGGGCTCCCCTCCCTTTTGTATATACTTCATTCTACTATCTGCTGGCACTGGAATCTCCCTGCTGATCTGGGTTTCTTTTGCTTTCCGGTAGGATTTATTTATTTAAGCAGTACTGAGGATTGAACCCAGGGCTTTTGTATGAGTTATAACCCCAGCCTCTTTTTACAAATTTTTAAATTTTGAGACAGGGTCTTGCTAAGTTGCCCAGGCTGGACTTGAACTTTTAATCTTCCTGCCTTGGCCTTCCAGAGTGCTGGGGATATAGACATTCACCACCACCTTCAGCTGGATTTGTCTTTGAAAAAAGGCAAGTAGGGAAAGCAATGCTTGTGAGCTTCTGACAGTGGAACGACGGGAGCCACTGGAGTAGAGTGGGAGACATTCTGGCCTTGCAGCTCACTCTGTGTGGAGGGGAAATTGCAGTCACCGCTCTAGAATGTTTCCCCTCCTAGTTCTGGACTTCGTCCCTCCTCATGCATCCTCCACGGGAGCTGGGTGCACAGTGACTACTGTGGCATGGGAGGGAGGCAGGTAGTGGCAGGTGAGAATGGTAGATTTGGGGTTGAATCCCAGCTCTACTCTTTGCAAGGTGGTGACCTTGCTCTGTGTTCCTTTATCTGTAAAATAGGGAGCGAATCCATACTGCATGCCTGGTGGGCACTGAGGATTACGAGATATAATATGGTTAAAGTGCCTGGCCAGAGAGGGTGCCCCAGACATGGTGGTCAGCATGTTGGGGAGCCTCTAGATCTCTAGTTACCTTGGCCCACTGCCCATGTGGGGCACAGCTGAGGCCTGGTGGGCAGCACAGCACAGGGCTGGGCATGGTGGTCACAGCAGAGTTGAGACAGAGTCTGAAAACCTGGGAATGATGCCAGAGCGGTCTTTGCTTCCTGGTCTAGCATTCTGAGTTCTCTGGAGCTGTGTCCCTGAGACCCAGGAGTCCCCAGCTCTGGCTACACCCCAGCACTTCCTCAGGCCAGGCCTCTGTCCTTGCAGCTCCCGGTCGGCTCATCTGCCCTGGTGGGCGGGAGCAGCTTCACAGAGGAGCAGAAGACAACACGGATTCCCAAATGGTTTGCACCGGCGCCAGGATGCCGTTGTGGCAGCCAGCTCCCAGCCAATGCCACGCAAGACAGCAAGGTCTCCTGCAGGCACGGAGACCCCAGAGAGCAAAGCCTGCCAGACTAGAATTCTGCAGCCATGGGACTCCTTCCCACAAAGCAGCATACACATCTGCATATCATTGCGGAGTAGTTTGCATACATTTGCATCCAAGTCCACATCCCCTGCCCCCCACACTGTTCCATTTTCACTTCTATAAAACTAAATATTGTAAGGCCGGGGATTTAGCTCAGTGGTTTCGCCACCTGCTGTGCAAGCACAAGGACCCGAGTTCAATCCCCGATACCAAAACAAAAACAAAAACAAAACCAAAAAACTAAATATTGTAGTGTCAAAGTCTCCAATCCCAATTCCCTTCATTTCCAGTGGGTTTTGAGGGGCTGATGTCTGCTCCATGGGCCTTCAGGGAGGTGGAGGATGTGGAAAATAGAGTCATTTCACTTAAGGTGCTTACAGCTCAGCTGGGGAAGGAAAACGCACCAGTGGGACCTAGGAAAGAGGACCAGATAGCCATAGTTCAATAGGGGTGCAGGAGATGCACTAGGAGCCCGAGCAGGAGCAGGAGTTGGGCAGGACCTCAGAGCAAGCTGAAGGAGCATGGCCTCCAGTCCCTGCAACAGCACTCACAGGGACCACCGTGTTGGAAGAACGGGTCTGTGACATCAGCCCAGTGGGTCCTGTGCCTCTTTTCAGGTGGTTGCCTTTCTTCATACCTAGGGCTTATTCTCAGTCTCAGACTGGCTCAGGGTGGGGCCAGAGCCAAAGGCCATCTTTGCTAACTGGGCAACAGTGACTGCCCCACCTAGTGCCGGCCACATTCAGATGGCACAGATAAAGGGAGCTTAGAGGTGGAGGGGTTGGTAACAGGCTCAGGTGTCCACATAGGAGGGGGCAGCCGGGGAATGAGTGCGGGCAGCCCAGCTCCTTGCCCCATGCCCTTGACCAGCGGCCTGGTCTCCAGGTGAAAGGTAACAGGCCAGGTTGGTGGGGCTCACTCTGGAGTCTGAATGTTTGGGTTCAAGCCCTGGCTCCACTGATTCCCAGCTGTGTGATTTCCCAATGAGGTTTCCTCATCTGGGGAGTGAGCATGAGAGCACCCACCTCGGAAATGCCTGAGTCACCTGTGCAGTAGGTGTCTGTGCTGGGTGGGGACCAAGAGAGGAGGTGTGGGAACAACTTGCTGAGGGCTAGGTGAGGAGGCTGGCTTGGCTGGGGGAGGGTCTTCCTAGAGAAGGAGAGGGCACAAGCCTGTCTGCCAGCGCCCTTCACCCTTCCCAAGAGGAAGGTGTGGCATGTGTGTCCAGTGCAGCCTGCAGCTTGCCAGGGTCTCTCCACATCCCTCGTACAGACGCTAGAGAGGTGGTGATTCTGACCCTCAAAGGATGGAGGGTGTGTGTGCTGTGCCCTTCAATTTTGAGCTCTTGGGTAGCTACCAGCTACCCATGACTTATACTCTGGGCCCAGGGCACGATGGGGCCTGGAGTTGCCTGTCAGAGCACTTGAGAGCAAAGCCTTTAAAGTCAGCTTTGCCCAATCTGGGCTCCTTTTTAAAAAATATGTTCTAGAAGGAAAAGGACTTGGTGAGAGCCATATCTGGTAAGGTAACCAGATCCCATTGACAAGCAGGAGAGTCTGAGGTAGCAGGAAGAGTGGGTGTCCCTGGAGAGCATCGGGGTAGAATGAGGAGAATGAGCCCAGGGCGCATGAGGCTCATGTGAGAGCCCAGTCTAAGGAAATGCAGTGCACACATGGCACACACCCTAAGACATGCGTTCTTGCCCACAGCCCCATGTGCTGTCTTCAAGAGCCCAGAGAGTGAAAAAGAGAGACTTAGGGCTCAGTTGCTTCGTTGCAGGGTGGGCAGGGAAAAAACAGCGGCAAAGGCAGATAATGTACCCTGAGATCTACCTCTACTTTGGCACAGCCCTGAGGAGGAGACCCTCTGAGGGACCCTGGCCTGCTCTGGCTTGTGGAGAGAGATGGAGGTCTTGTTCCTGGCAGTCACTCTGTGGTCAGGGTACTCACCTTTCTGGCAAGAACGCACT